CACCACAAAACGGCTCATTCTTCGCTGCCAACTAGACTCGTGGAGACGCATTTATTAGCCGCAAAGCTTACCATTCCAGGCCGTAATTGGTTGATAAACACAATGTGGAATCAGGCGATTTGCAATCTGATCAATGACGAACATGCTTTCATAGGAAACCCACCGTATTGTTAAGAAACATGATAAAAAAACATACTTTTCACATATTTCCCAATATTTTCGCAAAAACTCTTTATACTTTAAATTCCCCACGCCTTATCTTCCATATTATTGCAAGATCGGCCTAATCGCATCACAAACAAAGGAGGAGATAGAAAAACAAATGACTTCAAAATTCCCTCAGAATCATCATATAAGCCCTCTCTCTCAGAGAGTGGGCTAAAAACAAATACAAATCATAATTGTAATGAGTCTATACATTACCTCCCACACTCAACCTTGCTTGAGAATCTACACTGTACAGGTTTCATATGTACAGTAGTGACTTTGGATTAGATTCGGTGTTAATACCAAGGATAAGTCTATAAAAGACTTATTTCTAGTGTGGTTCTTCTGGCAGTGATTGGGCAGTAGTACACCAGGAGACTATCGCTTACTCTTTTCTGAACAGTGTACTACGTTCTTTAACATGCACTTGGGCCATATTGCATACAGGACCAACAGCTTAAACGTCTCATTTGAAAGACCGTGCTCTATTGAAATTCAGCCCTCCAGCTAAAACACAAGGACAGCAGCGATGGGAACAGAACCAGGTGCCAAGACATCTCCACAGTTCAGCGCACCCGCAATTACTACTACCGGCTTTACGACTCAGCTAAGCTGCTCTCTCTCTCTAAATATTAACCTTTATTATAACATTATTATAAGACTTATTCCACTTTAACTTTGATCATGTAGTTTAGCAGTACTGTTCTTCACATCAGCTCTACTGGCTTCAACACCTCTTTACCATTGTAAACACAGTTACCTGTTGTTGGATCTGCTTAAATGACTCTTGTAGTGCAATGCCATTAGATTCTGCTTTTCTGGCAAATGCTCCTGTGACAGCTTCAAGTCTTCTCACTCCACTACTGGATGCTTTCTGAGATGTTATAATGAACTTCTCAATATGACTGGTATTCTCAACATGTCTGTGAAAAACATATAACATATATTGTAACTACAGTAGTATAGTAATACTACAATAATAATATCAATAATTAGAGCAATATCAGAATGCAACAGGTTAAAGAGGATTGATTGACATATATATTTTGCTTTGTAAATTTACTTCTTGTATTAAGATTTGACCTCTAGATATTAGAGTTCTAGCTTGTGACAAGAAGTAAATTAAGTAAATAAAGATTTAATTCTCAAATTTTCTGTACTTAGACATTGTTCTTTTATTTTTATCACTCTGAATTTCATCTTCCTGGTATAGTAACTGAATGGGGACTTGTGCTGTGCAGAGCCACATATGTCAACAAAGTGGGTGTTGCATTGGGAAACAATTTCTTCCTTTTTGAAAGAGTATATTAAATTCTAAGATACTTGCTCTCCAATCCCAGGGTCCTGGTTCGATTCCTGTCAGTGTTGCAGGATTTTTTCTCATGACCATACAAATTAACTTCCTCAACCTCATATTGAGATTTAGTTTGTGTAAAGCATCGTGTGTGCACAGGGTTGGTGCCAACCCTGGAACCCTTTTGAGAGATTTTAAACAATGCCCGACCACGTCCACTTTTTTCACCAGGAACATCGGACCCCCGTCGGACAAATCCTGACGCCACCACTGTGTGTGTATGTTTGTCTTGTGTTAGGGATTGTCACCTACAAGTGAAACAGTAATAAGTTTGCTATTGACAATCCTTGGTACATGTGTTGTGTGCCTGAAAAAACAACAGCAGCAGCAGCGCCCATCAGTGTCACGGAAAAACAGCTTGATGGACACACAGATCTAGATGGTTTCAGCACCAGCCACCTGCTACATCTACTGAAATACAATCAATTATTTCAACAAGAGGTAAACTAATAAAAAATGAAACACTTACGTGCCTCCACATAGTTCTACTGAACATCCACCAGTATAATCACTGCTCATTAATTCATTGATTATTTGACCAATGGTTACCACTCTAACCTCATCCCCATAGGTTTCACCAAACACAGCTTGTAGTCCAGGAATTGTATTTGCTTTATCAATTGACATGGAAGATGTATACAGTGGGAGACTTTCTTGTATCAAACGATTAACAATGTCAGATATATTTTGTAAATCTTCTGTACTTAGTGTTTCCTGAGAAGAAATTTAATTCAAAGAAAATATTAAATACAACACAATTTATAATTTCAATAATATTTAATGTTTATGTATATATCTATAAATATATATATTAAATTTACACATATTTCTTTGTTTTCAGACAATTTGATAGATTATAATTACAAAAAATAGCAAAACAAATTAACATGTTAATGTTGCATAAAGTCTTTTGTTTCTTTGTACTGCTTATAGTTTCAGTTTGATTTATTCAACTAAATTGCACAATATTCCTTTCCTTTTCTTGGCCTTTTGTCTTATGAAATGTTTATGTTCTAAATTGTTTTCTGAATTGTTTTTCTAAACGAATTTTCTTTCATGAATGAACTTTCATTGTATTTTGTATGATTTTTAATAGTTCAAATTTTACTTTGGAAAACTGGGTTTTAATGACTGTATTTTCTTGTTTGTCTTGGGCCCCCATTGATCAGCTCACTGATTCCCTTTGAACTGGAAGGGTCACCCTCATTAAGTATGATGGAATTAAATGAAGAAAAAGCACCATTATAATGGACAATTAGAAGTTTAAACTTGTCTCTCATATTGACCCCAACTTAAAATATATTAAATGAAAAAAGTAGTACATGTATATATACATTTTCATGGTGAGGGTAACAATAATCATAGACATAATACATTCCTCAAAATAGTATAGTGTTGGATTTTTTTAAGAGCTATATAGAGAATAATTAAAACAGTACTGGATCAGATAACTATTTAGTAGTCAATTTAAATAAATCTCATATAAATCATTTGGTCTGAATAATAATATTTTACATGTATGCTTACCATAGAATTGAAGTCAAAGCGCAACCTATCAGAGGCTACCAGTGAACCCTTCTGACTAGTATTACTTAAAACCTCTCTCAGTGCAAAGTTCAACAGATGGGTACCTGTGTGGTTGCGCATTACATTGATTCTATGTTCCTATGTGAAGTTGGATACAATAAACAAATTTAAAAAAACGAAACAAAACAAGACACAGGAAATTCTGCAATTGTTTCAACACCTTTAGTTGATTCAACTGCCAAAAAATGCATCTTAAATATATAATTATATTAATACATCATAATGTTAAATACAAAGGTCATAGGTCATATATGAAATTTACTATCAAGTATTAGGGCATTCTAATGTAAGTGTAAGAGCCTTTAAATAGGCTGCACTGAGCTCCAAAATTGACTAAGGAGAGAAGAGGAAGGAGTTATAGTCAGGACACATCTTAATGGACTGTATTTTACAAATTTGTTAACTTCTGGGGTTAATCCCCATTCCTCTCATGTCTGAACTTACCCAGTTTACGTGCATGTGTACTTCAACGCCTACTCTGATTGGTGCCTTGGACATTCCACTATGTAATGAATATCCACCATAAGACTGTACATCATCAATATTAAGGCAATTAAGTGACTGGTCATTTATTATCACACCTATGTCAGCAATTTGTCCACCAGACTCGGCATAAAAGTTAGTACTGCTTGTAATGACACCACACTCAACATTACTGCCAACTTCATCAACAAAATTGTTTTCTGCTTTGATAGCAATTATTCTAGTTTTCACATCAGGAGAATCTTAAAATCATCAAAGTGTTTTTTAATGAAAGAATTGGCAATTCACAATAAATATCATCAAATTTTACAATGCATCTTTCATATTATGCTAGAATGAACTGAGTCTTTAAATACAATTAGGTTTAGTCCACCATTGCCATTGGTAGGATGTCTCGTAGTATACTGATGAAGCAACAAGGAATGGAAGCCATCAATTCCATTCTTAAGCATCTTAGTAACCATCCAACTCTACGATCCATATAAAAACCTGGTTTGTAATTTCTTTGGCCAGCCAAATTTTTTTTTTTGAGATCTCGCGAGCCAAATGAAACCTACGCCTATCTGAGGCAATATAACGACATTTAGTTTGGCCTATGCATAACAAATGTTAGTTCAATTAATGATAAAACAGACTGAAGATTAAAGTGGAATATTTTGAAAGAAAGCATTGTACATCTTACAATCATAGCAAATTATTTGAATAACTACGTAAAATAAAACAAACACAAATAAACCATCATTCCTTGTTTTAATTATCATCAGACATGTTTCATTGAAAGTCCAACAAAAATAAAACATCCTGTTTAATGGGAACAGTAAATAACAGTCCATAACCATAACAATACATGATAACATGATTATTTATGTTTTTCAAAACAATCAATATCAGTGACTTAAATGACAATGGATGCCTTAGCAAATGCAGTAAAATCTGGTGTCAGGGCTGTCAAAGGTGTTGGCATCAAGTCCCCAAGATGCACATTAGAAAGTCGACTTCTATGTTTTTTTGTTTTGATTATAAGAGCTGTATCTCAAATAGAACCAGACAAAAACAGCATATTTGCTAGACCCAGCAAATCAACTTACTGTATCTTCTGCGCTATATAATTATAACGTGCTCACCGCCTTTAAATGGCAGATCCAAGAATTTGAAATAGATAGTACCCAAGGAGGGACTTTGACAAATGGACGGTCTGTACTACCCTAAGAAATTTTATGATTATGTCACCTCCAGATGCCTGGAAATGGCACTCTCCGGCTTAAAATTTAAATGTAATTTTCTTTTTCTCTCCAATTTTTTACAATATTGAAAAAAATAGGGGGCCCAGGGTCCGGCTGCCCTCCCCACTTTGCATCCTCCCCTTAGCCTCAGAGTTTTCATTTTGGTCTTCCTTTTATTTCAGAAATATTCATCAAATTATTATTAATTTCTTATTTTAATGATTAAAAATTTTATCATGTACTTTTTTTTGCGCGGGCCAGAATAAATGGCCCCGTGGGCCGCCTATTAAGAACCAGGGATATAAAAGAATTATTTCAGATACTTCTGAAAAACTGTAACTTTGATTACATGATGTTGGTTTTCCAGATTTTTTTTGTTTTGCTGTAGAGTGCAGTCAATGCTTTTTCTTTTCTTGTTTTAGTGTCTCTGAGGGTAGTGTTTATAAAGGTACCAAGGAATGGGAATTCATGAGTATGTTGTTTACTGTCTATACTCTTTTACAGCAAATGCAGTTGGTTTGCACCGCCAGCCCGACAAAGACACTCTACCTTGCACCCAAAATGTCATTATATTACATGCTACTGTGCAACCAATTCACACGTAGTAAAGCATGCATTTTCATACAGGAACAATTGGGAACTGGGCAAAAAAAAACCCTGTGTAATATCCCTGCTGTACTGGTGAGTTTATGTTGATAAAGTTGAAAAAGACTGTGAAACTTACAATAACTGTTAGATTCACTGTAATTTGTAGCATAGACAGCTGATGTATTTGTGACGGGTATTTTCTTGTTCTTTAACCATTCAACATCTGGAGCATGAAGGGTAACCATTCTCTTTTTCTGTTGATTTTTTATGCCACCAAGACTTGTAATCTGTGGAAAATGAATTCATAAATGAAGATGTACAGTAACATAGATTTGTTCAGAAGAAAATAAGTGTTCTACCTGTGAATGTTTGCTAAATAAATCAATTTTGACAATGCTGTTGCTACGTAAGACAATTATTGATATATTATTTACAGTACTGCTTAATATGGCAGCAACATTGACAGTGTTATTGTTACAAAAGGCAATATTGAAAATAATGTTGTATTTGTGGCAAGACAAGACAAACTAGTCACTCGTAGCAAAAAGTGTTTCAGAGATAATGACCAAAACATACTGAACTGTCAACATTTTTTAAATCAATTTTAGTGCACTAAACTAACATTTATATATCTATACCTCATGCTATGCTGTTATTTTCCCTCTTTTCAATGTTAAAACAACAATTTTTAATGATTTTGTGATGGTTTCTGCCAGAGAAATGAACGAAATCTTTGAAGGCTGACTTCTCAAATATTGTTCTTTAAATAGCTGTATGTTTAAACACTTCATAAGGAAATGTCAACATTAAACGATTCTTTTACCATTTTATAGCTCTCATTTTACTGTTTAACCCTGTATTAATAATCTAACTATCAATTTTTTAGACGAGTGACTAGTTTAACTTGTCTTTGCCATATTTGCAACACAAGACAGCATTTGAAAAGCTGTTGCTGCTGCTACAAAATTATTTTTGAATTGTTCAAATAATATTAAATATTTATCAACCTCATGTGATTTCCTTCTTTCTTCCTCATACTCCTCCATGTCAACTTTCAAATTATTTTCTGAAGCGATGATGTTTGTCAAGTCAATGGGGTAACCAAATGAATCATACATCTTCCAAGCAACTTCACCTGTAACATTCCACAACATAAAGTTTGGAACCATTGATTAAAAAAAACAAATTATACATATACACGTTCTAATTCTACAATTTTGATTCCTATATTTAAATACTTTTACTTTGAATCTTGATTTCCAATTGCATTTATCCTGTCACTAAGAAAGATCTGCATCATTTTCTTTCCAATGCTCTCTAAACTGAATATAATTTCCTCCATTTCCTAATTTAAAATCTCAAATTAAATCTTCAATATCTGTAACTGTCATTACACAAAATATACTGAAAATAAATTATCAAAAGGAACATGTTGAATATTAATTTAATTTTACCTGATAATGTTTTCTGAGACCCTAGCTTTGATATATGTTTCTGTAAAAATCTTTTTCCTTTTTCCAATGTCTTGAGAAATTGCTGCTCCTCTTGGTTGATAATTTGCATCACAATTTCCGGATTTTTCGTCAGTTCAGGAAATGCACCTCCCTAAAGATATAAAAATGACATATCATTACTTACCCACAATGGATCTTTCTAAGCCCCACCCCTTAGTTACAGTTGCCAAGTTCTCACAAAACAACAGCGTAAACGTACATAAACACATGCGTTTTTGGGACATGTGTTTGTAGGGCATGCAGATACTAGTAGACCTGTTCTGATTGGCCAATTGCTAAAATACTCCAGAAGTTGTTTGGAAATAATAACTAATAAGTATTCTTTCTACTAAAACCAGGAAATAGGTATTGTTGTGTATTGCATTTTTAATATCAACTTATCATTATTGACTGTTTTAACATTTTTATGTATGTGGTGTATTGTGTATTGAGACTTATTTTTATGCACTGCCTTGATGCATCATAGTTTGTGATATAAGAAGCTAAAAGATTGACAAGAAATTTGTGTCAGAAAAAGAAAATTGGACTCAGGTATCACTACCTTACGGTTCCTCATTGATTAGAAAGGTGAAAGGATTAGAATGCAGAGAAAGTTGCAGTATGCTGCTAAGCCTAGAATTACCATATCAAGTTACTAGAGTACAGGGTGATGCATTCAACAATCATAATATTCACCAGAGAATGGGAATGAGTGAAAAAATGTTGATGTCCCAGAAGAAAAAGAGGAAAGTAATGGTTATAATTAGAACATGATCAATGTAAATTAACAACAAAAAAGACACTAGAAGTTGATTATAATTTTATATATGTTTAAATACAGAGAAATAAAAAGAATACTCACTCACCAGGGAATGCACCACTACTGGTACAAGACTGGCAATCGTGCCAGGAGGTGCCTTAAGTTTTTCAACTGCATATCTTGTAGCTCTCCTTATTATTCTCTTGATGACATACCTATCAAACACTTTTATTAGTATTCATTATTGAAGAAAGTATCTGAATCAACTCAATGTGTACTTTGTGATCTTGTCTGCTAAAAAAAAACAAAAAAAAACCAAAAAAACAAAAAACAACAAAAAAAACCGAGTTATTACACTGCATGTACACAGATTCCGATAGGCTATTCTTACACCATTCATTTTTACATGTTCTATCTTTGTAAGGTGATAATTTTTCAATTCATAAAGTGCCTAATAAAAAAAGTAAAATAAAATTATTAAATCCTGTCATTGGATAAATTGGCAAACCGTCACAAAGTGAAACATTCTCCGCTCCCAAATAATACATAATCAATGCTGCCATGTAAATTGTGCAGGCACCAGTACAGTATCTTCAATGCCACAACTTCACACCAGGTAACCAATTATACAATATAAGAGATACACAGAAAGTAACTGTAGGGACATATGATATTCAGTAATATTATTTATTTTGCTATTTAGTATTTTACATGTTTATTTTTTTATTTTTCCAAAAATTTTTAATGGCAATGTATGAAATATGTTTAACGGGCATCATTGTCAAGTAAGTATAAATTATTAGAGTATTTTCAAAAGGTGGCTTCCTGCCAAGGATGCAACATTTTGAAATAAGATAATAAAATTGATGCAAATGATAAGTGTTACGGAGCTCAGTTGGAATTTAACAATTCTGTTTAGGTAGAAAGAGTATTATCAAGTTACACTTACCCTTGCATTTGTGGTCCAGGTCTCGCACCATCAGTGATACATATAGTAAGCATTCTAGCATGGTCTGCCAGCACTCTGTAGGCCATATCAATTCCATCAGTATCTGAGATACCGACCTTACCTTCATATGGCCCAACTCCAGATACCTGCGGGGAAGATGGTAACAAGAGTTCAAAAAGAAATAATTCATTAATATGTGGAATTAATAAATTGTATATTTCAGGACATGATTATATGAATAGTAATAATAATGAAGAATTATTATTGTACACAATGGGCAATGTCTAAAAGGAAATAAAACATTGTGCTATCATTTGTACTCCCGGGTTGTGGCAAAAGATGTCATTGTTTTATTTTTAACATCATTTTGTATTGTTATTGTTTGCCAAAATCATTATGATCTATAAAGTTAAATTAAAGAATTAAAAGAAAATAAATAAATAGAAGGATATACCTGTTCAATTGATGCAATAAGAGGACGAAAAAGGTCAGTATCATAATTCGAAGTCACTCCTTGTAATACGGACACAAGACGCTCCAATCCCATACCGGTATCAACATTGTTGCTAGGTAACTTGTGAAGTTTTCCCTTAGTATCTCTGAAAATAAAGATAAATTTACATTGCTTTTAATTCCAATTAATAAAATATGACCAAACACATGATGTAGAAACAATGATTTTTACAAAATTTGAGCTTTCCAAAATGTATCTGCAATTGCAGGATTTGAACCCTGGAAACTAATGAGCACCTGTAAATTTAAATTATAGGTCCCAGCTAACAATTTTCCATTATAACAACGTTGCAGTATGGGTTTTAAACCCTTGTTGAAACCTACCAATGGTAGATGGGTTAAGCCGGTATGTGTACATAATGGCTTTACACGAAGAGATTGTGATGTTGGGGACATAACACTCTGTATTGGTATACAGTATCAATATGAAATCAACACTGAAGGAAATGTAAATCTTCGTATTGCACATTTTGAACCGAATTTGTTCATTTTTTACTTAAAATGAACAAACACATTTTCAACTATTGAATCACAACTTGTACCACAATCCTTGGGGTTGTTGTTGCTGTTTTATATATTGATTCTACACGATCATTCATGAGCAACCAAACAAACCACATATTTCGGATAAGGCAATCAATTAATTGCCTCACCAAAAATGTCATTTATCTCATATATTGTAATATTTGTGGTAAACAATATGTCGGAGAAACAAAAAACACTCTCCTACACAACGTAGATCAGCTATCAGAACATCTAAGCTTGATCAACCAGTAGCCGAACATTTCAATTTAGCTGGTCATTCAATTTCAAATTTCAGAGTGATTGCAATTGACCATAATGCCAATTGGAGCGAGAAAAATCGCAAAGATAAAGAGAATCACTGGGAACTTTTACTTAAAACCACCACACCATTTGGACTCAATATTAGGAACGTTCTCCCAGTACACTAAATTAAACCTTTGGTATTCCTATTTATTCTGGATAAATCATATGGCTTATTTAATGAGGCTTGCCACTAAAGTTTAGTTTTGACCTTCCTGTTTACTTGTTTAGGCTGTTTATTCTAATATC